GTGTGTTTGTGTGTTTGTTTGTCTATTAATAGATATCAATGTTTGTCTATTGATGGACATCTATATATGTGTGTGTCAGTTTCATATTGTCATTGGCATCATCGTCATCATCAATGTCGTCGTCATCATCATCATCATCAACGTCATCGTCATCATCGTCATCATCATCATCATGATCAACAGCATCAGCAGCAGCATCAGCAGCAACAACAACAGCTGCAGAAGCATCGCTTATACTTTTTTTCATTAGTCCATGACAAATCAATTGCAATGGCGAAGTCATTATTTACGTCATCGTCTTCTTCTTTGACGTCATCATCGCCGCCATCATTATTACGTCATCATCATTATCGTCCTTACATCATCATCATCATCATCATCATCATCCTCCTCCTCATCATCATCATCATTATCAGGACATCAGCCGAACGGCGTACCACAACAGCAGCAGCTACATCGTCGTCTTCAGCTGCGAAGACACCAATGTCAAGGTCATCCGACAGTTGATGACCTGGTTTCAGTTTCTGATCCTTTTCCTGTTGCCCCTGGCCGCCATGTTTTTCTGCTACTCTTTCGTTATTAAGGTTCTTTGGAAGAGTACCAAAGAACTGAATAAGCTAACTGGGTTAGCTCGTTTTAAGCTTTCGTTGTTTCCATTATTGTAATGATGATGATGATGATGATGGTGGTGATGAAAGTAATGATTATGATAGTTTCGACAAGGATAAATAATAAAATTATTCGTAGCATTAAACAACAACAGCAAAATAGCAGTATAATAATATTATTATCAACAAATATACAGCAACAACAACAACAACAAACAACAACAAACAACAACAACAAACAACATCCACAAAAACTGCAGTAATCATGATGAATAAAACTCACGAGAAACCGATAAATTAAGGAAAGAATCAATCACCATTTCATTCACAATCATACACACAACACAAAACAACACACACACACGCACACACACACACACACACACACACATACACTCATGACTCTTACACATATACACAAAACGATAAAGTATAAAGAAATGTACACTGGCTTGTTTCGTTTGTGTGAATGTGTGAGTAAATTGAAGAGTGTGTGTATGTGTGTGTATGTGTGTATGTGTTTGTGTGTGTATGTGTGTTTTTATTTTCATTTTTTCGCCTTGTTTACCATTTGTTAAACGCTTGAATGCACTGTCGTTTGTTTAGTATCTCGCTTGGTAATTAGAGTTGGTTTGTTTGTATGTTTGTTTGTATGTTTTTTTATATGTTTGTTTGTTTGTTGTATGTATGTATGTTTGTATGTTTGTTTGTTTGTTTGTACGTAAGTATGTATTGTATGTATGTATGTATGTATGTATGTTTGTTTGTTTGTTTGTATGTGTGTAAGTATGTATTGTATGTATGTATGTATGTTTGTATATTTATGTATGTATATATGTATGTATGTATGTTTGTTTGTTTGTATATATGTATGTATGTGCATATTAATATTATTTATTAACATCAGAAACAATTTTGTGGCAATAGCAGTAGCTGCAGTAGCAGCAAACGTAGTAGTAGTAGTAGTAGCAGCAGCAGCAGTAGTAGTAGTAGTAGTAGTAGTAATAATAACAATAATAATAATAATAATAATAATAAAAACTTGTAATAACTGTAACAATGCTTTTGATTTAAAAACGTAATTGATGGTGAAAGTTCAAGGTGAACTTTTTCATTCTACATTCATTCATTCTTTTCAGTCGCTACTTTCCAACTATCATAACCACCATCGTCGCCACCAACTTCATCGCCATCATCATCATCGTCATCATTACTATCACCATCGTCGTCCTCGTTATCATCATCATAAACATCGACAGCTTCTTCTTCATAAACAACAACATCACAATCATCTTCATCATCAACGACAACAACAACAACATCATCAACATCATCAATAACAACAACAACATCAACAACCCTATCCAGACAATCTGACGGAAATAGTTGTATGCAGTTACAACAGCTGCAAAAACAGCAACAACAACAAAATAAAAGAACGAAAATGGTTACCATGGCGATCACGTGCCCGTCTGCTAAAAATAGAAACAGCGGTATGACGTTGATGATGACGTCAGAGGGGGCCGTCAACAAGCGCGCGAAAGGTAGCGGGGATTTGAAAGATTCCCGCAAACAGGTCATTATTTTTTACCATAGATATAGAAGCTAATAACTTTATTTTCTATGGTTTTTAATTAATAGGATTTTTATTTTTATTATCGTTATCGTCGTCGTCATCATTAGACTTAGATCGACAACAACAACAATAACCACCACAACAACAACAACCACAACAACTACTACAACAACAACCACAACAACCACAACAACAGCTACAACAACAACAACAACCCATAACAACAATCATAACTACAACAACCACAAAAACAACCACAACAACATCAACAACTACAACAACCATAACAACATCAACAACAACAACAACGATAATCAGGTAATCAAGATGTTGTTGGTAATAATCAGCTTGTTCTTCCTTTGCTTCGGACCGAAGTGGGTGATTAACGTTTTGAAGAAACATCAAACTGAGAACTTGTTCCTCGGAGAATTAATTTTCTTTCTCGGAGTCAGTTTAATTGTCGTTGTTGCGGTAATAATGAATATGATGTAGTAGTAGTAGTAGTTGTTGTTGTGGTGATAATGATGTTGTTGTTGTTGGGGTGGGGATAATTTGGCTGTTGTAGTTGTGGTGATAATAATAATGTTGTTGTTGTTGTTGTTGTTGCGGTGATGAATTTGTTGTTGTTGTTGTTGTTATGATGATGAAAATTTTGTTGTTATCGATAATGCTGTTACTATTGCTGTCATTGTTGGTGGTCGTGTGGTGTCATTGTTGTTGACAGCGATGTTGTTGTTGTTGTTGTTAGTGATGATGACGACGATAGCATTTTGTTGACCAACAAACCAACCAACCGACCAACCGACCGACAACTCACTCAGATCTCAGCAGACTACCTACCATTCCTTCACACCTGCGCCAATCCCGTCATCTACTGCTTCCTCTCTTCCAGTTTCCGGAAAGGACTTCGACTCGCCTTTTCCGGTATTATAAATAAATGTCAGAGCTCCGGATTTTGTTGTTGTTGTGGTGGTCGCCGTAGGTGCAACAACAACAACAACAATAACAAATGTCTATCGACAAATGGTTGCGGTTGCTGTTGTTGTTTCTGTAACAAAGTTTCAACAATCGAAGATGAGGAATACGATTCTAGTTGCGTCATGCAAACTCAGTACTCGACCACTCTAAACAACAACAACAACAACAACAACATCAACAACAACAACAATCTGACACAGCAACAGTTGCTAAAGCTTAAAAATTGTGAATACAGCACCGTTGTCAGGTCCGATAAAGATGACGACCATAATAAAATCGTACACATTGATGACGACAATGATGACGTCATTGTCAATAACATCAACAAAAATGACAACAACAACAACAACAATAGCAATAATAATAATAATAATGACGCTAACATGTCTACTAGAGAAAAAGAAGCAATTGTCAATATTGATCATTGTTGATTGTGTGGATTAAGTGTTGTTGTTGGTGATAAAAATAATTATGATGATGGTGTTGATGTTGTTTTTGTTGTTGCTGTTGTTGTTGTTGGTAGTGTTGATGATGATGGTGAGGATGATGATAGTTATGATGATGATGATGTTGATGTATTTGTTGTGGTTGTTGTTGTTGTTGTGTAAATCAACACTTGGCTGGAGAATTTTGATATTTTCGATTCCAAAAGAAAAAGACTGTTAACAAAAAAGTACAAATGCGAACAACAACAACAACAGCAGCAACAACAACAACAGCGGCATCAACAACATTATTAACAACAACAACAACAACAACAAC